AGGGATTCCCTGATGTGTGGGACCTCTGGGGATCCTGGATTCACAGCAGTGTGTTCCTGAAGGCTGAGGCAGGGCCCATGTTACAGGCAGAGGGGAGATGCTTGCTGCCTGAGCTAATTCATGCTGGCCTCTGCCCTAGAGAGAGGGCAAAGAGGAAATACAGCTTCTCCTTGCTTAAAAGAAAAACATTTCATAAAGGAGTTGTCAAACGGAGCAGAGTTGCACTGCATTATAGATTATAACATCATAAGATCTTTCTGTGATTAACAACAACCAAACCCAGGATCTCTGCAGCTATCCACGGAGACGGCTCTTCATTCACCTGCTGTGCTTTGTTGCGGTGAGTTGCGCTTTCTGTACAGTTCTATCTACACGCCATCGGTCCGCAAGCTCCTCCGGGCAGGCACCAGCCTAGCACACCACCGTGTTCCAGTCACCCTGTACCGCACATCACAGGAGCCCAATATAGGTCAAGTTCACAAATGAATGAACATGCTCCTAGAAATAGGAAATTTCCCGCAAATGAGACAACTCGGTTCTGCAAAAGGATTTCCAAGTGGTATGTATAGCTTTTTAGAAAGCATTCCCCAGTGACAATCCAAAAGACTGTTAAGATGATATCATGCAAGAACAACAACAAAAAAGAATCCTTAATTCAGGAAATTCTCTGATGAAACAAAACTTAACCAGTACTTTTTTTTTTTTTTCTGGGAAGTCCCAGGATTGTTTTGAATTCTGTTGGTGCCCTTGTCGGGCTGAGAGAAGGAGACCTGATGAGTCAGCATGCATCCTGCGCTATCATAAATGATTTACATGCATTAATCATCAGATAGCATGCAGGGCTCCACCCGTTCTTACTTTTTGCTTTCAGCACAGTGTTTCACAAATTCTCAAAGAATGCAGAAAAAAAAAAAAGTCAAAAACATGAATAGGAGTTTCCCACCTCCAGTTCTGTTCTGTGCAGCTGCTGGTTTTCTTGATATATCATTTGTGTATCTAGCCCTTTCCCATTCTTATTCTTTCAGTATATATTTTTGGTTTCATTGTTCTGGCTTGGAGTTATATTCTCCTATCCTTTGCTGCCAGTTTTTATTTTATTTAAAATTGCTTATATATGTTTTCTTAGACACTGTTCTGTAATTTTTGGGATGTATATTTTGTAGCAGATTTCTGTAGCATTTAGGACATGGTGAAATCATACAGTGGACTAAAAAAAAAAAAAAAAAAAAAAAGGCTTAACTCTCCCCAGGTCATGTTTCACAACGGTGTCCATTGCATTGGATACACACCAGTGTCCACAATGTTGGTATAAAGTTAAAGGCAAAAGTGATATGATTATGACACTAGATTTTAAAAAAAATAATAATTATCTGGGTGTGGTAGCACAGGCCTGTAACCCTGGCACTAGAGAGCCAAAGGAGGAAGAGTCCAAATCTGAGGCCAGCCTGGTTCACATGTTCCAGGACAGCCAGACCTCTACCGTGAGGCACTGCCTTAAAAGAACCCAAGTCAGCTAAACACAAAAACCCAACTAAGATGTAGTTGCCCCTTTCTTCATGAAGGAGATTGAAACTAGGGTATTTTGAATGCCAGGCAAGTGCTCTATCATTGAACTGCAAACCCAACCCATTAATAATAATAAATTCTAAGAACAATGGGAGCACAAGGAAGCCATCTAAAGCCACCAATGACGATGGCTTACAATCAGCAGCATCAGTCTACCGAGTGAAAAAGTAAGGCTGCTGCCAAGCTGATCAGAGAGGGGTGGTGATGCTGCACCAGTCTATTGTGCAGTGTGACAGATGGTTTTAAAGAAAGTCTAACAGCTAGAAAAGGGAGCAGGCCTTTGCAGTGTACTTTTGAAAAGCGAGACTCCGTTAAAGACATCCATGAGCGGGTTATGGTGACACAGGCCTATGATCTGAGGCGCAAAAGACAGGAAGACTGGGGCTTTGAGGCCAACTTGGGCTATGCAATGAGTTCTAGGCCAGCCTGGGCTACACAGCAAAACCCTGTTTCGAAAACAAAAGCAAAAACATAGGCAAATGATCAGTTTTACTTCTGTGATTACGTGTGTGAGCGTATTCTATTCACAAAATTATAAGATAACAAAAAATTCAAACAAGGGTACAAGGAATTAGAGAATCATCTAACATTTTATGGAATTTAAATAAGTGGATATTATACCACATGACTGAACAGATAGATTGGCGTATAAATCTCAATTCTTAACAAATTCAGGTGCACCTAATGCAATCCAAATCAAAACACGCCGGCTTGCGTTCTTTGGAGATGGACAAGCGATTTGAATGTTTGCACAGAATAAATGTGCAAAAGTATGTTAGTTTTTGGAGAAGTGGTCTTGGACTTGCCTTACCAAAGAGGAGACAAAGCTTTCCATGAAGCTATAAAACAGAAACAGCCTTGTTGTGGCACGAAGGCAATGGAATCCAGAGAAAACCGACCGCATTTGAGAACTTGAAATTTGGGGGTTGGGGATGTAGCTCCCCTCTTGTAGCTTGTATGATGCCCTGTGATTCTCAGTGCCACACACACACACAGAGACACACAGACACACAGGCACAGGCACACACAGGCTCACGTGATGGAATGTGTGCTTCCGTTGAATGGAAAAGGATAGATGTTTAATTAGCTCTTCATCTGGATACTTAAGGAGATAAAAGTCCAGTGTGAGATTTGCTCAGCTTAAGTCTCAATTCTTAGTTTTAGAAGCTTCATGAACTTGAATGATCCCTTAAATTCTACAGTCCACAATTTTCTTATCTAGGTGAACTTTATACAGTATTTTTGTCAGAATGCCTAGCATGTAGAAATTTAACAGAAAATCTGAGTTGTTATCATTGCATGTATTAATTCACACTGATAAAAACAAATCCCAAGTAGATTAGAAATATAAGTGCAAGAATAACAGGAAAAATGTAGAGGAGCATTTATTTAAAAAAAAAAATCTCAGCATGGAGGACAAGAAAGCATCAGGCATAAAAAGAGAAGTACAATACAACAACACAAGCCCTGAGTAGAGAACAGAAAATAGATGATCCTCAGTATTGCTTCTGGAGCGCCCAGAAATGCTACACCAGCAGATACATTAAAGTGACGTTTATACAGACATTTTGATTCAGAAGTCTTACTTTTGAAAAGTCTAGCTTCCAAAATAAAAAATGTCAATATAAAGGGCATAGATGTTTGAGGAAATTTGTTGTGCTTTTTGTTTGTCTGTTTGTTTGGGTTTTTTTTTTTTGTTTGTTTGTTTTTTGTAGATTACATCCTTGGAGGGAGGAACTAAAATGAAAATAAAGCTAAAAGTTATTTTTAAACAGAGAAATGGGCAAACAAGTTATGGAATACTACATAGTTCTACAAAAGAGTAACTTAGGTGTATGTGTACTTTTAATATGAAAGGCTAAAGCAAGGGTAATGAAATAGTAGCTAAGGAGTGAGCAAACATGCTATGCTATGCTTGGATAGCTTCTCGCACTGTGGTTTGCCCTCCAAACCAAGTAAAGACTCAGTGGTGTTGTCTCCTGTACCGGAGGCTAGTGTGCAGGGTGGTAGGACTGAGAAGTGGTGGGCCTACGGCTGAAGAGATGGCTCAGTGGTTAAGAGCAATGGCTGCTGGCTCTTTTATCTTTTTCTCCCTGCTCCACCCCACACCCCTTCCAACACCAGGTAGGAGAAAGAGTTAGTGGGAGAGGGGACACAGTTCTCTTAGCTGCTTTCTTCTGATTAGGGTTGTCGGGTTCCTTGGAGCCAATCTAATCCTCATTTCAGGAGATCACCAACTTCTTGCTTCACAACAGCAATCAGGAGCAGCATGGGGGTAGGGGAGAGCAGCAGCCTTGTTCTTTCTCTCCTCCACACTCTCTGGGCTCTGGCATTTATTCTCTCTCCAGAGTCCTCGGATTTAAACTATCTGTGGCGGGCAAAGACCTCTCAGAGCCCACATGAAGCAACTGCTGTGGACCATCTGAATCAGTCCCACATCCCACACCTGGGACCAAAACGAAACCATGTTTATAGCCACAACAGCTGCTCTTCCAGAGTACTGGGGTTTAGTTCCCAGCACCTACAATGGCAGCTCACAACTGTCTCTTCACATTGACGTACACGCAGGCAAAACACAGTGCACACAAAAATAAATGATAGATAGATAGATAGACAGACAAGGTCTGGTGGGAAGTGGTTAGGTGATGTGAGGGGAGGGACACGACAGAACACTGCCCTTGGAAGAGATTAAAGAAGTTCTGTGGGACCCCAGCTGGTCCCCATGCAGGCGAGTTGTTGTAGGAGAGGGCTCCTGAGCCCTGAATTCTCTCTGGCCTCCTGTCCTACCATATGGTCTCTCCATATGATGCACACCATCCCGCCACGATCCCACCCGCTGTGGTGCTCACAGTCAAGGAAGCCCTCCCTTACCTGATGACACTCCTCCCCCAAACAAAATCTAAACAGTCTTTTTCTCTACGGAACAGTATTTTATTGCGATAACAAAGTAGATCGCTGCCCTGTGCTGGTCTCTCTGGGTGTGAGGTTCTTGTCAATGCTGTTGCCAAGCAGCTCTCTCAGTCTTATCTGCCCTCTCTCGCCTGGTATGTTCTGGCTTTCTGCATTCTCTGCTCTGCTTATCTGTCTTCCAGCTTTGTATTGTTCATTGGTGGCTTCCTCTCTTTGATGATTTAATTTTATCCCTCTCATTTTAAAAATATCAACACAGTGATGGTCTCGGGAGCAGGAGGAGGCAAATGTGCATTGCTTAGCTAGCTTCCTTGAGTGAGAAGCCTTTAATTTTATGTTATCAGTAAGAAACGGGGCAGAGGGTAGCCCAGCATACACTTGCATTGATTATATAGATTTCTCTGGGGGCAGAAGATACTCGAGTTATACATAAGAGTTAACATTTGACTTGACACTTATTTGTCAAACATCGATTTGTCCTTGACTAGAAAGCCCCGACTATGTTGTGAATAACATTCTCTCACCTTGCCACTGTGGGGTGACCACCAGCAGCAGAACAGCCTTTTGTCATCGTCCAGCTTTGTCCCCTTTGACCTACTTTTCCGTAAAGAAGGCAAAAGCCCTGAACTGGTGAAGCAAGTGATTTTAATTAAGGTCTTTGAGCCTACAGCCTTTTCAGCTGCAAACAGCTAGGAGCAAATAACATCATTTTAGGACTTAGGAAGCCCACTATCCTGTTAGCTCGCCTGTCTTCACACTGTGTCACAGACTTGGGAAGCTTCTCCTGCAATTGTATTCTCTCCACTCTTGAGGTCTGAAGTTCCAGACCAAGGTCCAGTAGGGTCAGTTTCTAGCAAGAGCTCTTCCTGGCTTGCAGACAGCTGCCTTCTCACATGACAGGGGCAAGGTGTGGGGACAGGGGGAGCAGTGTTTCTTCTTATAAAAGCACACCAGCTCAGCGGCATTAAGAACCCACCTTTATGATTTTTATTTTTTAAAAACCTCATAGGCCTCACATCCACATACAACCACCCTGAGGATTAAAGCTGGATCCTGGGACTATGGGGGAGGGACAGCATTCAGTCTTTAGCAACTATTTCTCGGATTTCTTTGTTAAATTTTAAAAAGGCCAGTGGAGAAAAGCCTACAAGAAAAGAAAACTACACTCAAGTGTACCTTTGTGACACTGTCTGAGAGCATAAGGAGATTTGAAAACTACCTTAGTCCTCTTGCTGGGTATGTGTTTATAAAATCATTTTCTTTGCTTTTCTGCTAGCCAGTGGGGAAAGCTCATTAAGAGTCAGGGGAACAGCATGTTCCATTATCAACACGCTAAACCACAGGATTAACGAATATTCTAGCAAAAGCAATCACATTTATTAATGTTCCCACAGAGCTGTGGTCCAAAACAATAAACCCAACCATAATAATTTGATAGCCATTAATCAAATAAATGCATGCCTTCATCTACTTTTCCTTGTGTATTACAAATTCCCCAGTAATCAAAGGAGGAAGAGATGAATACTTTATTTTTAAAAGGGTGACTTCTGAAAGATAGTAAGTTAAAAATATGTAAGCAATTAATTTGCATTTCCTCCCTGCTTATGGTTCAGGCAAACCACTGCACAGATTTAATGAGCCCAGTTTTCTGCACTGTTAATGACATTAGAGCTGAAGAAGAACCCATGTGATTGACAGGAAAGGCTGGCAGGGATTCCAGAAGACGGGAAAGAAAGAGGTCTTTTCCCACCCACTCACTAAATAGAATGCAGTACTCTCTTGTTTAAAATCCAGTTGTGGTGGATAGAATTATCAGCTGAACAGAACCACCTGGTCATGCTGTGCGCTGGGGATATTATCTTGATTGCACTGAAGGGAAAAGACCACTGTGAGTGGTACCATTCCCTGAGGGTCCCTGGCCTGTGTAAGTGGAAAAACCAGAACTGAGTAGCAACATGCATTCATTACTCTCTGCTTCTCGACTGTGGATACAATGTGACCATCCCCCTAGCTTCTGTCCCTGTGACTTCCCTGCCATGACAGATGATAAATCTGGAACCATGAGCGAAATAAACACTCGCCGAGCTTGCTTTTGCCGGGGCATTACTGCACTCAGAAAAGAAAGGTAGGAGGCCAGGGCCAGAGTTTTTCAAAGTGATCTCACTTAGGCTACTCACTAACCCTTCCCAGTGAAGAAAGAAATCAGAGCGGTGAGGGGTCAGAGGGGGAGGGAGGGGTTGGAGTAACAAAGGGAGACAAAGGAGAAAACACTTGACTCAGGTAACTGGGTGAGTGCGGAGACTGAAGTGCAGAGCCTCCAGCCTGCAATTACTTGCCAGCTCCCTGAAGGCAGGGGCTGTGCCGGTCCTATCTGGCCTATTGAGCCTCCTATCCCTCATATCATTCTCCAGAGTGACCCCTGGTGGCCACTGTAATGTCAAGCGGAAAGCCCACTTTATTTGGGGTGTTTGGGCCTCTACCTCTCCCACCAACCCCACAACCTTAAGTAGGAAAGAGAAAAGGCTGGTGGGGAGAGGGGGCCCAGACTCCTTTACTTCTTCCTGCTAGTTAGGGTCAAGGGATTCTTTGGGACTCTATACCAATCTCCATCAACCGCAGACGCAGCCAGCAGGCTCCTCCACTCTGTGGCGCCCTGAAGCGTTTCGCTCAGTCTCTCTGTTCCAAACCGCCACACTGTCTCTGGTCTCTAGTCTTTTCAAACTGCCCCACGCCACACGCCAACACCGGACATTTCCACACGTTCCGCCTCTTCACTTTCTCGGCCTCACAGTTATACTCTCAGAGTCTTAGACCGCGACCCTCTCCAGGCTGCACGCGGAAGGCAGTTACCAGCTGGCAGACGCCACCCACCGCCAGAGACAATTAACAGCTGTGGACAAACCATAGCCCGACTAAAATCCCACACTTGGGATTAAAACGAAAGCGTGTCTACGTACCATACAAAGAAACCAAAACTTCCATTACAGTTAGAGGCAGGGCAGTTCCTGCTATGTTTTCTTTCCCTTTGGTGTAACCTAAGAGTTTGTTCTCTTCGTTCCAGCTAGGCCTCCCTCTGATGCCAGGTACCACACGTTATTGCCTAATTGGCTGCTTCCCGTGGTTCCCTCCAAACCACTTTCCATGTGGCGGGCAGAGGGATCCTTGAGAGGTAAATCGTATCATCCTGGAATAGAATAAAATCTCTAGCGACTCGGCTCTATGACAGACAACAACTGCTCTTTTCATGGGCACCATATCCTTCCTCTTCCCCTCTCCCTACCTCTCTCCCTCTCTCCTCAGTCTAGCAATTATCATGGAAAAATAGAGAGAGAAGGAAGCCTATAAGCAAAGGTTGATTGTATCATTGCTTCATATCCTGCCTCAGGAGGAGACATTAGTGCCTTAGTTACGTTTACTGTTTCTGTGAAGAGGCACCATGATGAAAGCGACTTACAGAACTGAATTTTTATTGGGGCTTACAGTTTCAGGGGGTGAGGCTATGCCCATCACAGCAGGAAGCACGTCAGCAGGCAGCTGGGCATGACACTGGAGCAGGAGTGGAGAGCTCACAAGGAAATGGTGTGGGCTTTTGAAACCTAAAAGCCCACCCCCCAGTGACACCCCTCCAACACAGCCACACTCCCTAGTCCTTCCCAAATAGTTCCACCAACTGGGGACCAAGCATTCAAATAGATGAGCCTATGGGGTCCATTTTCATTCAAACCGTCACAATTAGTTACTTGTCTCGCTGCTGTGATAAAGATACCCTGATGAAAGCAGAAAGCACTTATTTCAGCTCACAGTCCCGGGGTTTAGTCCGTCGAGCTCAAAAAGTCACAGCAGCAGGAGCTTGAGACAGCTTGGTCCTATTACATCTAGTCAGAAAACAGAGGGCTAGAGAGCTTCCAGTCAGCTGGTTTTCTTCTTCGGGTATAGTCTGGGATCCCAGCCCACGGAACTGTGCCACGCCAGGCACAGTAAGCAAGGATTCCCACCTCAACCAACCTAATCCAGAGAACGCTTCCCAGGCATGCCAGAGCCTCCTCGCATGGTGGGCTCTAGATCCAGGGTGACAAGCAAGACTGACTGTTACAGGGAACCCACACACTCTAGCATCCCCCCTCCACGCTTCATGCAATAGAAAAAAACAACAAACAAACAAACAAAGCGTAAGTTAATGCTGGTCGGTTTGGTGATTTCTATCAAAATCAGTTTTCCTTTGAGATAGTCATCCTAAAGACACGCTTGCACACTTGAAAGTGGCTAAGTACAAGGTCTCTAGTCCGACACCGGTTGTCACAGCATACGCTGACAAGGATCTGGTTAAATAATGGACTAGCAACATGGAGTGTCATGCTCCCATGCTATCTTAGAGTTATGTCTGTTGCTGTTGCTATGATGAAACACTGGAACCAAAAGCAATTTTGGAAAGAAAGGGTTTGTTTGGCTTACATTTCACTTTGTAATCTATCACCGAGGGAAGTCAGGAAAGGAACTCAAACTGGGCTGGAAGCTGGGGGCAGGAGCTAATGCAGAGGCCATGCAAGGGTGTGGCTTACTAGCTTGCTTCCACGGTTTTGCTCAGCCTGCTTTCTTACAGAATCCAGGACCACCAGCCCAGGCACAGTATCTCCCATAATGGCCTATCTCCCATCAGTCACTCCTTAAGAAAATGCCTTCCAGCTGGGTCTTAGGGGAACATTTTCTCAATTGAAGTTCCCTCATTTCCAGTGACTCTAGATTGTGTCCACTTGGTATAAAACTAGCCAGCACATATGTGAAGAACAAAGGCATCCTAAGAGATGTTCTGACTGAAGCGGAAGACACTTCAAGATGAAGGGCAGCAGTAAATGCACATAATATACTTATAAAACGGGAGGAAGAGGAATTTGGATTCTGTTTACATTGGGTTAAAATTCACGAGAACACTCAGTTGTCTGAGTGTTATAACAGGTTACCTGTCATCTGTGTGGGGTCTGCAGAGATGAGGGACAAGAATGGGAAAGAAAAGTTGGCAGGGTATTCAGTATGTAGAACTAGAAAATGCAGACTTGCAAAGCAGATGGGTTCCTCCTGGGAGAAACATGCATTACACACCAGCTTTCTCATGGAAAGAGAGACAAGAGCAGATTTTTTTTTTTTTTTTTTTTTTTGTGATCTTAACTCTGCCTTTACAAAGGCTGAGCAGGCTTCTTGTCATAAGGATACTGTATGCAGATAGACCTCTTTTTTTAAAAAAATTCTGTTTTATAGGGCCAAGTAATGTGTTCACATGCTTAAAAACCTAAAAGTATTAAAATATGAACGGAATTTTTCTTCCCCACTCTTTTTCTTTTTGAGGCAGTGTTCCTTTGTATAGCCCTGGCTATCCTAGAACTCAGTATGTAGACCTCAGAGGTCTGCCTGAGTGCTGGGATTAATGGTGGGTACCACCATTGCCTGGCCTTCTTCCTCAGTTCTGACGTGCACTGTTGTGACCTGATGTGACAATATGCTGGGGTGGGTTGGTGGCAGGGCTCCCCTTTTCAGAAGGAAATGGGAAGCGGATAAGGGGAAGAGGGAGGAGTGTTGGAACTGGGAAGAGAGGAGGGAGGGCTACGATTGGATGTAAAGTGAAAACATAGTAATTAATTAATTCTCTTAATTAACTAATTAAAAGAAACAATGAGGTAAGGGGGTTGGAGGATGACGGATCGGCAGCGTCTGCAGGAACTTCATTTGTGTGTATCTTTGGAGTCAATGTAATATTTATCCCACAGATAACTCTTTGAGAGACAACTTTGGTGGAGGCTGAGTAAGTTAATCATGGGCGTAATTTCAATAGAGATGTGAGACAGCATCACTTCATTAAAAGCCGGTGTGGCTTTAGTGGTCTGCAGCTTGCCGACAAACTCTAGGAGGTCGGCTAAGAGTTCAGTTGGAAAAGGAGAAGGTGGGGGAAAGAGGCCGAAACACAGAGGCATTCTGGGAAGAAGCCGCCATAGGTCTGCTAAGCTAAAGGGCAGTAAGTGCAAGTTCTTGTTAATGACATGAGGAGTGAGTAGATGTTATCTTCCAAGATGGGGAGCTGTCGTAGGCGGAGCGGGGTGTGGGGGGGGGGGGGGTTGGTCTCTCAGTGTCTACTGCTTTGTACCTTTAAAGTTTTAATGACGTAAGTGTGTCGCCAATACAGAGGTCTAATTTAAAAAGGTGACTGCTTCTATTTAGGCGGGGACTTCTCTTTCCCACAACTCCCTCCAGCTTCCTTTGCCTTCAGCCCACGGTGCAGCGTTTGCCCAGGGCTGAGCTCCTCGCTACTTACGAGCGAACGGGAGTTCTTTCCTCCTATTTATTCTGCCCAGACAGGAAGGTTTTGTGCATCTATTTGTAAGGCAGGGTCCCCTACTTGAGATTTCAAAGATTTCCCCTTCTCTTTCATCCCTCTCTGCAAACCTAAACAGCGGTCACACAGCCTGTCGTGTTGGTACTTGCCTGGCATCCCAACTCCTGCGAGGTGGAGGCTGGAAGATTGGGAGTTCAAGGCCAGTCTCCTGTTTTCATTTCTCATGTTCAGGAGTTTGAAGCCAGGGTGGACATGAGAACTTGCCGCATAAACAAACAAATTCAATGCCTACAGACTCGTGTTTTGTTTTGTTTGAATCTTATCTGATGAGCGCTTAACTCATAATCTTTTTCTTATCTTCTGAAATGCTTTGAAATCTACATTTTGATTATATAAAATTGAAGGGGGCGAGGAGAGTAAAACCAAACCGGAAACTGCGCTGTGATGCGCCCTCTAGTGGTTAAATGCTCACACTGTTCTTTCACTAGCTCCTGGTTTTCTCAAAAAGCAAGGACTGCGCATCTTTAAAAAATCTAGTGAAAACTCTTAGTCTAGGGCTCATGGGCTGGCTCAGCAGGTAAAGGTGCTTGCTGCGCATGTCTGCAGACCCGATTTGATCCCCAGAACCCACATAAAAGTGGAAGGAGAGAACCGACTCCATAAAGTTGTTCTCTTTGAGCAATACATTGGCCCATCCTGCGTGTATAAGAAATGTTTTTTGCTTTTGCTTTTGTTTTTGTTTTTGGAAACAGGGTTTTTCCGGGTAGCCCTGGTTGTCCTGAAACTCTTTAGACCAGGCTGGCCTTGAACTCAGTGATCCACTTGTCTCTGCCTCCAGAGTGCTGGGATTACGGGCATGAGCCACCACACCTGCCTTAAGTACTTTTTTCAACTCTATACACTCTAAATGAACAAAGCGGAAAAACAAAAAGTGGGCATACACGAATATGTATGTCAAGAGTCTGGCATAATTTTGGCTAGGCAGTTTCGGCTCACACCTTTAGTCCCAGCACTTGGAAGACTGAGGCAGGTGAAACTCTGTGAGTTCAAGGCCAGCCTGGTCTACAGAGTGAGTCCAGGATAGCTAGGGCTACACAAAGAAACTGTGTCTCAAATATATATATGGCATAATTGTATAAGAAATGACTACAGTGTATTTAGTTGCTATCCACTGTTCCCAAGCCAAATACTCAGGCCAAATGTTGCTTTCAGTTTAGACCTAGGTGTATGGATACTTTCACTCACTTTGGAGAGGAAACCTAAATTAACTACAATCTCATCTTCCCAGGAAAATAACAAGGGTGAAATAAGCATAAATTTTGAAATTTTTATTTATTGAAGTTTTTGTTTGTTTGTTTGTTTTCGGAGACAGGGTTTCTCTGTGTAGCCCTGGCTGTCCTGGATTCGCTTTGTAGACCAGGCTACTCACCTTGTAGATTGCTCCCAACTTTACTGAAGAATCTTAACAATACTATGAAGGATTACGCAGGACGGAGAGACTGTTCAGTGGTTAGAGCACGTGCTGCTCTTGCAGAGGACCTGGGTTCTGTTCACAGAGCCTGCACTGCAGCTGAGAACCATCCGTGACTCCAGTTCAAGAGAATTCAATGTTCTCTCTTGACGTCTATACTTACACACTTAAAAACAAAAGAAAACAAACAGGCCAGGCGCTGTGGTATATGCCTGTAATCCCAGCAATCTGGGAGGCAGAGGAAGGCAGATCACTGTGAGTTTGAGGCCAGCCTGGTCTACAAAGTGAGTTCAGAACAGCCAAGGATACACAGAGAAACTCTGTCTCAGAAAAACAAAAACACAAAAGCCTAAAAATCAGTATCCTAAAACATTTATATAGAAACGTCAATTTTCACATGACAATCCTATCATTCAGTTAGAAGCCATACCCCAGCCGTATTCCAAATGGGCCTGTTTGGAGCCTCTTACTCCCATCATTACCTGCTGCTGGCGATGAGGGGCTGGAGATGCAGCTAGCCATTGCCCTTGCTCAGGCTGTACAGGTGCCAGATGGAATGATGTGGGAATGTTAGCGTGGCTCCTGTGCAAGGGTGACATACAAATGTGTGAGACAGTCTATGTTAAAAAAAACAGACAACAAGCAAACCACAGAGCCAGGAGCGGTGGCGCCCCTGTAATCCCAGCACTCGGGAGGCAGAGGCAGGTGAATCTCTGTGAGTTCGAGGCCAGCCTGGTCTACAGAGTGAGTTCAGGACAGCCAGGGCTACACAAGAGAAACCCTGTCTCAAAAAACAAAACAAAACAAAATGTTTCCATTGGACAAATGACTCAATTTCATTAATAAAATTTTTTGTTTGTTTTCTTATCTTTTTGAGACAGGATTTCTCTGTGTAACCCTGACTGTCCTGGAACTCACTCTGTAAACCAGGATGGCCTCAAACTCAGAGATTTGCCTGTTTCTGCCTCCTGCATGGTGGGATTAAAGGTGTGTGTCAACATGCCCAGACTTTAATTAATTTTTTTAAGGAGAAAAATTTTTTGAATAGTGATCCAGGATTATAGTGTGTGCCTATAATCCTAGCACTTTAGAGGCTGACACAGCGAAGTTGTGTTGTGAGTTCAAGGCCAATGTAGGCTACATAGTAAGACATCATCTCAAAAACAAGGCAAAATGAAACGCTAGAATTATGAACAGTGGGAGTAATAAGCACACACACACACACACACACACACACACAAACTGTTCAGGAATACCCCTGAGAATCATTGAATGCATATCAACACAGAAAACAGTAATCACTTCCTGTTATCTAGTTATTTCATCGTGGCTTTGTCTTCATTTGACCCAATGACATATCCCCTTTGGAACAGTGAAAAAGATCTATAGTGAAAGAGTGTATGTCTTGCCACTTCTGGGCCCCAGAATCCTGCTTTCTTCCTTAATGACAAGGAGAGCATCCAGTTTTAAAAGAAATATGCTGCGTGTATGCGGGTATACATTACATCAGGAAATCGGTTGTGTAACAAATTAACCAACATTTTATTAGTGCCAAACAAGAAGCATTTTTTTTTAAGTTCCTTTTTCCCCTGCCTCAGAGCAGAGCTGGCTCTAGTGGGGTCTTCCTGAGGTAGGCTTGCGGCAGGCTGCCAGCTGGTGCAGGTCCCTGTAGGTCTGCTGAGAACCCTGCTGGCAGAGCAAATTCCTCACAGGCTATTGGACAGGCGGCTTCAGTTGGTCTCTGGCTTTGAGCCTGAGCTTTCCTTCAGGTTTTTGCTGCACAGGCCTCTCAATGGGAGCACAGGAACTGGCTACATCAGGGCGAGCACACACACACACACAGAAAGGAGCCAGAAAAGGCAGGACAAGAAGCCAAGGGATATTTTTTTAAACCTGCTCTTGGAAGGACAGCCTGCCACTGTTATGATCTGCTTGTGAGAGCCAAGTTGAAGCACCAGTTGAGGGGAAGAGACTCAAATGAGGGGCTGACCTAGGTTGGAGGCCATCAGAAGCCACCTGCAAAACTTGTACTGTATTTTTATCTACAGATGCTTAAAACAAACAAACAAACAAACAAACAAACCCATGCGCATGCCCCCTTCTGTGCCTTTCCTCGTTCAGCTTCACAATTTACGTGTGAAGATCCCCCTCATTCCAACACTGGCGTGGCTTCTCATGCCCACACCACACGGCATTCTTTGGATGTGTGGCCATACTTGAAAGTCCCGTATCGGTCCACTCTCCAGTGCTTCGGGTGGTTGGCCGCACAGCGGCTTCTCAGCATGTGCATTACGTTTCGATAGCTCTGGCCAAATTTCCAGTAGGGGGAGGCTGGATCAAGCTACAACCCCAAAGCAAGGACCATCTGCTCTATTGGCAGTGTCTCTCCGCAGATTTCAGTGACATGGGGAAAGTGAAAAACCTAACCCTCAAAGCTCCTAGACTGGACAAATTGAAGCACTTAATTTTTATTAGCTAAAAAGGGGACAGGATTCTGCTACCCACTTAATTGGAGCTGGACTTACCCAGGTGTTTTCCTAGGATTCAAATGAGAGCTGGAAGCAGGGTCTCACACCTGCGATCTCAGTATGTAGGAAGCTCGAACAGAGGCGATTACTAGGAATTTGAGTCTAGCCTGGGCTACACGGTGAGACGCTATCTCAAAACACTACTACTACCAATAATACAAAAATAAAGAACACACACAGACAAGAGTTAAAAGCCTTCAGTGCAGACTTTGGTGTGCCTGGTTCCAGTCACCATAACCTCAGGTAGCATTTCTTTTTGTGATTGCAGGCTTTCTTAGGGCTACTCCAGCCAGTTTATTAAATTCAGATTTCATGGGGTGTTGTGCTAGACCCTCTCCAACTAAGTTGATACTGAATATACCAAAAACGTGTGGGGTGAGAGGGCTCTCACAGTACCAGTCTTTCTGTGGGTCCCCGTAGGCTGACATGGTAGGACTTTCTTAGTTGCTTTTCTATTGCCGTGATAAGACACCAAGGTGACTTACAGAAGGTTACTGGGTGCTCACAGTTTCAGAGGCTGAGTTCATGACTACTGTGGCAGGGACCATGGAGGCAGCCCAGCCACCACGTGCTGCAGTAGCTGAGAAGCTTACATCTTGAGGCATCAACTACCATGAAATAGAGGAGGGGAGGAGAGAGGGGGAGGAGAAGAGAGACCAGGAGGGGAAAAGGGAAAGGGGTTCAGGGGATCGGGGCAGTGAGGAGACAGAGAAAGAAAAATTCTGATATATATATATATATATATATGTGTGTGTATATATATATATATATATATATATATATATATATATATATATATATACACGGTACAGTATAGATGGACCTCGGGGACATTCTACTAAGTGAAATAAGCCAATCACCAAAGAACAGATGTTGCCAAGTGTTAGCTCATGCCTGCAGCGTTTGCAGTAGGAAGAGGCTGAGCCGGTAGGATTATCCGAAGTTTGAGGCCAGCCTGAAGTGGAGGTCTTTGGCTTCTTTGAAGACTCAGTTTTGTCGTGGGATACTCTGCTGCAAGCTGAGCACATGATGTTTTGCTGGAGGCTGGCCTGTGAGAGGGCACGCCATGTTTTGCTGTGAGCTCTCTCATTCCAGGGGTGACTTTGACCAGCTGAGAATGTCCATGGGTGGACTTTGAGGAGAGGATATATAGAGAGGCCCGCACACAGTGAGGCTTCACTTTTTGTATCGACATTGCTACACTGATCTTCATGCTTCCACACTTGACCGTACAGAGAAACACGGTCCAGAGTACTTCTCGGGGGCAATCCCAACTGAGTCTTGCGGCTTTCGCTGACTTGCCATGCTGATTTCACATTGCTGTTGGTGTTGGCCTTCAGACCGGACTTCGGGTATCCTGACAACCGAGTTTGGTAATCCCCAAAAGAACCATCAAACCTAATGATCAGGAAGTAGATCAGAGCACTCTATAGCCCTTTTCCCTACTAATCTCCTATCTGAGGTGTGGGAGGGAGGTAAAAGTGTTTAAGAAACTCTAAATAAAGTAGATTTGGTGGTAAAAATCTATGCCCACACCAGCATAAGCTAAAGAGTAAGATTCTGTCTTTAAATAGATAAATGAATAAATAAATAAATGAGAAATGATAGTGTGAGAGTCCACTTACACATGGTGTCTACAGTGATCATGTTCATATATGCGCACACATGGGTAGGTGGTGGCTGCCAGTGCCTAATGGGAAGGGGGAATGGGACTTGGTTTTTATTTTTAAAGATTTATTTATTTATTATGTATACACTGTTCTGTCTGCATGTACACCTGCACGCCAGCAGAGGACACCATATCTCATTATAGATGGTTGTGAGCAACCATGTAGTTGCTGGGAAATTGAACTCACGACAGCCAGTTCTCTTAACCTCTGAGCTCTCTCTCTAGCCCCCCAGGACTTGGTTTTTTAATTTATTTAAAATGACTAATTTTTATTATGTGCTTGCATGCCATGGTACATGCGTAGAGGTCAGGGAGCTGATTTCACTGTGCATTCCAGGGACTGAGCTTAGGTTATTGATGTTTTTACCCACTGAGCTACCTTGCCTGCTTGCTATTTTGTTTTTAAACAAGGTATGTTGGTATGTTGTCAGGCTGCTCTCAAGCTCCTCAGTGTGTGCATTCCTCCTACCTCAGCTCCCCCAGGACCTGGGATGCACCACAGCACCTTGCTGTAGTTATCACTGAGTGGGTCAAGAGAAGGAGAAAAAAGGTCTGGAGATGAGTAGTGGTGATGGCTACACAAAGCTATGAATGTACTCACGGCCACTTTGTTAAAATGTGGGCTGGAGAGATGGCTCAGTGGTTAAGAGCACCCGCTGCTCTTCCAGAGGTCCCCGGTTCAATTCCCAGAATCCACCTCAGGCATCTCATAGGAGTCTGAGCTTCACAGACACTGCGCTGGCATGTATGTATTTACACGCATATACACGTAACTGGAAGTAAAGGTTTCTAGGTGGTGCATGCCTGGAAAGCCAGCACTCAGAAAGGCAGAGGCAGGCAGATATCTGTGAGTTTGAGGCTAGCTTGGTCTACAAAGTATGAGTCCAGGACAGCCAAGGCTACACAGAGAAACCCTGTCTCAAAAAAAACAAAAACAAAAACAAAAACAAAAAACAACAAAAACCAGTTTTTTAAGAAAAGAAAAGTTAAAATGATAAATTCTATTATTGTGTTTTCGCCACAATCAAGCCACATCTTACCACTCCCAGGAGCTTCTCCACACACACGAGAAATGTCTGCCGTTTATCTGATGCCCGTTTTTCATACAGTCTATGATTAACTTTGGCTCACCACCTCTTCCCATCCTTAAACGCTTGCTTATCCCACAGAGAACCTTTGGATACATTTGTACTATGAAGGACCACTTCGCTGGACATAGACAGACTGCCAGTGAGCAACCAACCTCAATTCTGTCTTTCGTGTAGGGGTGAAAATGAGGCGACAGATGGTCGGGAGCTCTAAGGCAGTCAGTCATCTCCTGCCATGGCCGCTCCTTACTCAGTAAACAGCGCTGCTACCCTGCTGGCTGTAGCTGGTGGAGATTTAGAACAGGCCCCGCGGCTGGGGTGGGGGTTGGGGGCGAACCTTTGCTATCCTGACTATTTTATAGACTGTTCTAAATGAACAGCTATTATAGTGTGGGTTTCATTCTCCCTTTCCTTTTTTTTTTTTTTAACCTCCCCTCTGAGTATTTTCCTTCAAGCACATCTTCTGGCCTCAGAACAGCTACCCAGTTACCCCATGAAAGCTTGGCTGACAATGGTAGGGGATTAGGAACATTCAGAGTTATAACAAGGAACGTCAGGCTCTGTCTCAGCAGTTCCTGGTGTCTTCACAGAAAACCTGATGGGGTGCTGAGTGTGGCAGCGCATGCCTTTGATCCCAGCACTCAGGAAACAGTCAGGTGGCTCTCTGTGAGTTCAAGGCCATCCTGGTCTATATAGTGGGTCTCCACCTTAAGGAAGAAAGGAAGGAAGGGAAGAAAGGAAGGAGAGAGAGGGAGAATCAGTTTGGTGGGTGATTTATGTTTTTCTGGCCACAGCAGTGCTCCAAGTCCAAGGAGCTTGTCTATGTAGAAATCACACCAATCTCAGAGTGAAAAGAGAGTTAGTTGTAAACTGATGAGAAGATCTGTACTATTTGTACATGGAGACTTTTAATTGTTTCAAATTAGCATTATTTGAGCTTTTAAAAAAGAGACAGTATTGTGTCAGGGTTTCCATCCTTCTCTGGGAGGCTTGCAGCAAGTCCCGTGGGCCAGTCCTTACATAAGCAATCCCTTTGTTGTTGTTTGTTTTGTTTTTAAATGGAGTCTCATGGAGCTAGCCTCATCTTGAACTCTCTTTGTAGCTGAGCATGATCTTGAACTTCTGATCCTCCTGCTTTCAACTCTCAAGTTCTGGGACTATAAGCCAAAGTGCCTGGTTTCTGTGGACTTGGGGATTAAACTCAGGACTTCGTGCAAGCACTCTACCAACTGAGCTGCATTCTCAGCTCCCAGAGATGTGATTAAAATGTTATTACATTTATGTATGTATGTATGTATGTATGTATGTATGTATGTATGTATGTAT